CAGGGCAGAACAAGGTTCTTGCACCTCAGGCAGGGGTAGGGAACTGTAGCAGCCCGAGGGCCACATTTCTACCTGAGCAACCTTTCAGGGGCCACATGCCAGGGGTGGGTGGGGTCAGAGGCAAAAGTGGGCGGAGCAACTACTGTTATTTCTATCTTTGTGTTGTAGGCTAATTTCCACATACACACACCCCTCTCTATTCTATCCAGGCAAGCATGAAGCATTTTCAGAGTGCAAGGACAAATTCCAGCCAGGCAAAAACACTTGAGGCTGCAAAACAAGGCTGGTGAGATGTGTGGTTTGCGAAGTGTGTGACCTGGGGGGAGTCATGTGAGTCAGGGAGGAAGGGCCAAAGGATTGCATTTGGCCCATGGGTTTCATGAATTGTGGCTTAGCTGAATTAAGCGGGCAAGCTCTTACACAACTTGGCATGAACCATATAATATTGTTTGAGGAACAAGGACAGTTATGTTGCAGGTTTCTTAATGGGCTGAGAAACACCCTTCCCCCCAAATGTTAATGTTAGTTTTCTCTTGAAATGTAGGTGGTTTTTTCCTAGACAGTTTACAGTATTTTACTCTCTTTTTGTAACACTTTTAACCTTTTCTTGTTTGTAATTGAAAATGAAAATAATGGCTTATTAAAGGATCTGAAATTGGGTTGCTTATTCAGATCCAGGGGCAGGGCAGAGGCATCCATTTACTGCACAGAACAATTCTGTCTCCACTGAACAAGTGCTTTCTGGCTCTGGTTTTGTCATGCAAACTTGATCTGAAAGCACAAGACACAAAACGTTTTCTGAGGCCCAAGATCTCCCCCAACATACACCGGAAATCTCATGGAAGTACTAAAAACACCTCCAAAACATTGCTGTTTGTTTGTTTTGAGATTGGATGAAAGTTAAGCAGACATTTATCGTAATTATTATTGATCTGCCCAGCACCCTCAATGCGCATTGTGCTTTGCACCATACAAGAGGCTAGGTCCCTGCCCTGTTGAGCTTACAATCTAAAATTGGAGCTGGAAGGGAAATGGCAGCAGGAGCTAAACAGAGGAAGACCAATGAATTTGCTCTGGTCATTTGCTACAAGTTGCTGCTGCCAAGATGCCACTTGTTATCAAGTGTTTTACACTTTCCGTGTTACTCTTTCGTTGTCTTGATGGCATATTTAGTCAGTTTCAAAATTTGCCCATAAGCTGCCTTGGAGAGCCTTTGGCAAGGCAGAAGCGGGGTGGGAGCTTTCCCAGGGAATAAAATGAAATGTTGAAACCGCACATGCCAGATCCTCTCCCCCTCCTGAAAGCTAACAAAGTTAAACACACATATAAAGTGGGAAAAGGGATGTGAGAGCTGTACTGTAGAATATTAACTCCTCTTGCAAACAGGAGAATCAGCATCAAAGGTCACAAAGAAAACGCATTTGCAAGTATGGATTGCTTAATGGGGATTTCCCCCCTCTATCCCTGAGAGTTTTGAGTTATCCTCATGCCTTAAATGGCAGCTTGATAACTCTGCAGTCTTCAGCTACTGCTTCATACTGTTACGGAGAAATCTAGGTGCGAGGCTGCTCAGTCACCCAGCTTGTCTGCCCGCGGGTCCCTGCAGAATAAAGGAAGGAGTCCAGCCACCAAATGGAGCAAATAGCTTTAGGTCAAAGTTTATTGGGCAACAGGTTCAAAGAGGAATTTTGAATCCCGAGGATGGGGTGACAAGGACTTTTAAAACTTTCCCACCATATCCCAGAATACAGTTTGTACAGCATCATTGATACATCATTGATACATCACTGACATGTCGCAAAAAGGGGAGGGGTAGACAGGGGTTGGGACACAGGTGGTGCTGTGGGTTAAACCACAGAGCCTAGGACTTGCCAATCAGAAGGTTGGCGGTTTGATCAGAAGATCGGTGGTTCGAATCCCCGTGACGGGGTGAGCTTCCGTTGCTTGGTCCCTGCTCCTGCCAACCTAGCAGTTCAAAAGCACATCCAAGTGCAAGTAGATAAATAGGTACCGCTCCGGCAGGAAGCTAAACGGTGTTTCCGTGCGCTGCTCTGGTTCACCAGAAGCTGCTCCCTCGGCCAATAAAGCGAGATGAGCGCCGCAACCCCAGAGTCAGTCACGACTGGACCTAATAGTCAGGGGTCCCTTTACCTTTTTAGACAGGGGTTACACTAGTTTAACCTTGGCAAACATGTCAGGGCAAGACCCAGGTATAAGATTAGCATAGGCAAACAGCTCTGAAGTCCCACCACCCAAAGTACAATAGAACTCCCTTTGCATGTCTGGACCCCTTGGCAAGTCTGGTGATGGGATTAGGCTTTCCTTGGCCAACAATCAGCTCAGCAATTGTCACCTCTGGGCACTTCCTGGAGTCCCTATTTTTCAAGGGCAAAATAGTGTTGGTATGGAGGAAACTGGCAAAGGAGTTGATTTTATATGATTGTTAAAGCTAGGTGACTTCCCTGAGCTGCCAAGTCGAAAGGATACGTTGAAGCATAATATTTGTAACATTTAACAACTTTAAAGATGTGGCCGCCGCCCACCGTAATTTCCATAACAATACTGAAAAGGCGTTTTTGGATTTCCTCTGTGGATGCCACATTTGCCAACATGAGCAGATGATTCTTAACCCATCCGCACCCCCCTTCCCAATGTACTGACACAGCCCTGTTGCATTGTGGTATGTTATACCTGCTCTGGTAGACAACCAAGATGGGTGGTTTTTGTAACTTCACTTCCCTCTTTTTAAAAAAGTCTTCCTTCCTTGGGATCAATTCATATTGGAATGAAATAGGTCAGGCATGTCCAAAGTCCGTTTTGGGGGCCTAATCCAGCCCCTGTGGCTGTTTATTTCCTGGGGTAAAATCCTAAAAAAAGAAAAAAGCTTAACAACTTCAATCCTAAAAAAAGCTCAACAGTGTTGGTTGGCCCTCACGCATGTTCACTTCATCAAATCTGGCCCTCTTTGAAAAAAGTTTGGACACCCCTGAGATAGGTAAATCAGTTTTTTTTTGGGGGGGCATGTCATGAGGGGTGGAGAGAGAACATCTCCTGAAGACCAGACCAATCTTCTTGGGATGGGGTGTGTGATAGGAATTTTGAAGTCTTAGATATATGTTAAATGTTCATAAGTGTACCAACCAAGCACGTACATAGATCAGCACAGGAAGACCAACCTGGAACCATTTTGATTCCCAAACTATCCCAAACTGAACAAATGTTTTCTCTGCAAGGTCAAAGGAAAATGGAAAGGCCTCCCCATTGTCTTCTCCTTCACAAATCCTGTCTTAAGGGCACATTTAAGATATGAATAGGGTGTGAGCCTGTGACATGGCCCACGAACTAAGTATTTATCATTACAAAAAGACTGGCCAGGCTCCCCAGGCAATCCAATCAAGTAACCTGCCAGACAGGAGATAAACAAGGACAGGAGAAAAACAACATTCAAATTTCTCTTTTAGACCACCTTTTCTGTGATGTAGGTATGATGTATCTGGGGGTGGTCTTGATCTACAGGGTGGCAATTTCAAAAGTCCATATAAGGCCTTGCACACCATTGTTCTGGGTTCCTCCTCTCTCCTACGGGTGAGGGGAGCACCCTGTTGCAACAGATCAATAAAGATCAGGCTTACTAGCTGCTTTGCTTCTCAATATTCTCTGGTTGGCCTCTGTTATTTTCTCCTACCAATAGGGAACCTATGCAAGGACTCTATATGGGCTCTTGGATACCTCATAAGGGGAAAAGGGCAGATTTTTGTTTACAACAGGGGGAAGTTTCTAAGTTCTTTCACATTTATTTGGGGGTCGACTTAGAGGTTGCCAGCGTGACACCCATGAGCGCAGCGGTGCCCTTGAAGTCTTCCCCTGGTGCCAGCTAAGACTTGCAGCTCCCTCCCTCTACACTCTGCTCCTCTGGTCATGAAGTGGTGAGGGAGATACAGTGGTACCTCAGGTTAAGAACTTAATTCATTCTGGAGGTCCATTCTTAACCTGAAACTGTTCTTAACCTGAAGCACCACTTTAGCTAATGGGGCCTCCTGCTGCCGCTGTGCCGGCGCTGTGCGATTTCTGTTCTCATCCTGAAGCAAAGTTCTTAACCCGAGGTACTATTTCTGGGTTAGCGGAGTCTGTAACCTGAAGCGTCTGTAACCCAAGGTACCACTGTACCCCCTTTCCCCCTCTCCCTTGAAAAACTAGAGCATGGCATCTGTTGATTGCTGTTTTATTAGGGAAGGTGACTCAGGAAAGCAAGGCCTAGAGTTTGCTTATGTAGGCCTGGCAAATATTAATGTTTAGAACCATTTTTGGCAGGGTTTTCATTTTGATTTGTGAGGTGCTATAGGATTATGCACTTTATGCAGAGGTGTCTTTGAAGACAGTTTTGAAACTTCACGTGGTCCAGATTGAAAACACACAAAGAGGGTTGTTAGCAAAGTCTCTTTAAATAATGCAGATGGAGTCCAAGCCTTTAATGATGAAACTATTTAGTGCATAGTTTAGTGTGTAATTTTAGGAGAACTAAGCAGAGAGCTTTTGCACACTGGCAACTTAACGTCAGGGCTTGTACACAGCAGGGAGACATGAAACCAAATACACAGAGGAAAAGCTCCCTCAGAACTATGCAGCCAATCAGAGTATCTGCTATCTCAGCAAACATCATGCCACTCTGCCTGGCTGCTAAGCAACACTGCCACTCATCCCCCTCTTGGCTCGTTGACTATAACACTAACAGAATCAGCACATAAGTTACACATTGAATGATCTCTGCCATTGCACTTCCAATGCAAGCAAGCCAGAACACTCATCTGCAGTACAACAGAGTTTAAGAATTGCTGTCCTGACCTATTGCTTTTCTTGGCACCTCCCCAGGCTTGGAATCCGTCCCATTTGCTCCCCTCCCCAATTTCCCCTCTCCCTCACTGACATGTTGCAAAGTGCATTGCTGGCATTTTAAGGAAACCTAATCTTCTCCCGTCTCTCGTTCAATTTTATTTTGGTAGGCAAAATGAAGGCAACGAAGACGAAGAGTTTCTACCCACTGGAGAAACGTCAATTGATTCCTATCCAAACTGGCTCAAATTCCACATTGGCATTAATCGATATGAACTGTATTCCAGACACAACCCGGCAATCGGAGCCTTGCTTCAGGACCTGGCCTCCCAGAAAATAACAAGTGTCGGTAGGTTGATGAACACGCAGTTCCTAACAGCAGACTGTGCAAATCATTTGTTCCTTCTTTTTGTTTCTGCTTGTGGATGAGGGATATTTTATTTGGGTTTATACTGGCTGCTCCTAAAAGATGGCTCCAATAAGGTTTGCTTTCTGCTTTGGGAGGCTGTAAAGAGAAGCCACTGCTAGCTATGAATTGGCTTTACAGCAAACCTGCTACTGGCTCCAAATTGGATTTAAAGCGAATCTGCTCCTGGCTCTTTATTGGCTTTACAGCGAACTTGCTGCTAGCTCTGAATTGGCTTTAAAGCAAAGTTTCTGCCAGCTCTGTATTGGCTTTAGAAGCAATTCCTAAGAACAACCCTTAGAGTGGCAAAATGCAGCCATAGTGTTGAGTTGAGAGGCAGAAACTTTATGGGGCCTCTTTGGTGGTGGTGACACGTGAGAAAATCTAGAACTTCTCAGGGATAGGGGCTTTGATGGACAAAGAGCATTGGCTTTTCCCATTCTTCTTTCAAATGTAGTTTGCTGCCAGTGCTCATGCCTGGCCCACAATGCCCACCTTGGAATGACCCTATTTGGTATTATTCTAAAGGAGGGCATGCTGGAGGGAATGGCTGCTGTTGATAGTGTCAGAACTACATTAAATAGAGGAGAATCCCACTGCCGCTGGTATATGTCCCAGTCACACCCTACTAGTCCTCAAGAGTTTCTCCCTTCCCCCAATTTTTTTTTGAGAAAAATCTATATATTTATTGTCTGCGTATAGGTTCCTTTTATATACTACCTGTTTCTGTTAGTGAAGGTGCTTTTCATTTGATAACAATGACGTGCAATCTAAGAGACGTGCTACTAAAGGAAAAAAGGATGAGGAGGGTAGAGAAGAAATAAGGCCAGATGCTAACTCTTTTGTTGCTTTTACGTAATGAAGTTACATGTTGCCCTGGCTGGAATGGCCAGTGGTTTGTTGTTCCTGTTTTTATTAAGTATTATGCGTTTTTTATCTTGTATTTTTATGTTGTGAACCACTCCTGAGATGGAGAGCGGTATACAAATTTAATAAATAATTAAGTTCAGAAGGGAAGATTCAGGTAGTGGGTTGCTTGCAGCTGAGCCAATGGAAGGGGCTTTGCTTCCTTTGCCTCTTTCTCAGACATGGGTGGATGGAATGACAGATATTCTGCAGGCAGCTCTGGCAGAGGAGAGGCCCCCTGAGCTGACAGATGGGGTCTCACCATCTTGCACCTTTCTCAGATGCATTTGTGCTGGTTTATGACAAGTTAGACATGTTTGACTCGTGTGGTTAATATGTTTCACTGATCCATCTCGCCACCTAACTTTGATCTGTTATGCCTCCCCACTTTTGCACGTTTTGAAGAATGTACTCCCTGACTAGTCTGTTTAACCCAGTTCACATCCGCACTGGACATTTAAAGCGCTCTTATACCACTTCAACTCTGAACAACGGTATCCCCTGAAGCATCCTGGGAACTGTAGTTTGTTAAGAGATTTGCTAGAAGACCTGTATTTCCCTCACAGAGAAATACAATTATGAGGAAGAGGAGTTGATTGTTAAACCACTCTAGAGTTTGTAGCTGTTTGAGGGGAACAGTCTCTTGACCACTCTCGGCACTTTTAAACTACAGTTCCCAGGATGTGGGGGTGGGGGAGGAGCAGGAGCCATGACTGCTACAGCGATGCAATAGTGCTTTAAATGCACAGTGTGCATGTGTTGCCACAGATGGGAGCTGTGAAGTTCGGCACTAGCGGGCTCTGTGGAGAAGCAAACCTGTCTCTTGGCATCTTTGCCAGCCCTGTACAGTTTTGGCAGATGCGGCAGCTCGCAGCCTTCCCAGACCAGCTGAACCTACCAACATTCAATAATAATAATAATAATAATACTTTTTTATTTATACCCCGCCCATCTGGCTGGGTTTCCCCAGCCACTCTGGGCGGCTCCAAACAGAATATTAAAAACACGATAAAGCATCAAACATAAAAAAATTCCCTGAACAGGGGCTGCCTTCAGATGTCTTCTAAAAGTCAGATAGTTGCTTCTCTCCTTTACATCTGATGGGAGGGCGTTCCACAGGGCAGGTGCCACCACCGAGAAGGCCCTCTGCCTGGTTCTCAGTAACCTCACTTCTTGCAGTGAGGGAACTGCCAGAAGGCCCTTGGCACTGGACCTCAGGGCTGAACGATGGGGGTGGAGATGCTCCTTCAGGTATACTGGGCCAAGGACTCAAAGGACCCATGCCCTCTATACTGGGTCACCATTCTTGCTTCTGTCTCAGGGTGCCACCCAGGCAATGAGGAGGGACAAAGGATTCAAACATGTACATGTCCTTTGGAGAAAAATCCAGTAAAGGTGGTTTCCTGGTGGGAATAAATGCGAAGGGAGCACTAGGGCCACATTTCTTCGTAGGCCACATTCTCGTGGGCCACATACTGTTCAGGGCAGGACCAACGGCAAACGTGGGTGGAGCAACAGAGATGTTTCTTCCCTTGGTACAGTGGGGTACAAGAATCAGAGGTTCATATATACAAACACATCTCTTTCTCCATCCTCCATTCCGGCAAGCAAGAGCCATTGCCACAGTTCAAGGACATACTCCAGCCAGGCAAAAACCACAAGGAATGTGTGAAGTATGGCCTTGATCCTGCAAGGACTTACGGTCTGGTTTGATGAAGAAGAGTTTGGATTTGATATCCCGCCTCTCACTCCCTTTAAGGAGTCTCAAAGGGGCTAACATTCTCCTTTCCCTTCCTCCCCCACAACAAACACTCTGTGAGGTGAGTGTGGCTGAGAGACTTCAGAGAAGTGTGACTAGCCCAAGGTCACCCAGCAGCTGCAGGTGGAGGAGTGGAGACGCGAACCCGGTTCCCCAGATTACGAGACTACCGCTCTTAACCACTACACCACACTGGCTCTCCACAGAGCCAGTAGCAGCCCAGGAGGACTCCACAGAGATGCAGGCCAGGGCCAGGGAATTTATTTCTCACAGGTCTTTAGTTTTCTGGTTTGATCCAGCACTGCAAAGATGGATAGATCCCCCATGAACCTACCTGGGTTGGTTCTCACAGTTTAATATCATGACCTAACAAGGTGTCATTGGCTTAACACCTAGGAGCACGGTGTACAGATTACAGAATGTAGCACCAATTATCAGTTGACAACCAAGAGATTAGCACATATAACAGGTGGAAGTGTTTTCCGCAGGAATTCTGACGTGTGATTTAACTTTGGAACGTCTCCACATTTTTGGCACTGTTAAGGAACTGCCTAGTATATTATATTTGCACAAGCCTTTGAATATTCTAGTTAGGATTAGTCAGTGGCAAAACCCTGAACGCAACTTCTCAGCAGCAAACAACACTGAATTCACGGGTGCTTACTTCCAGGTTGAGAGGGTAGGGTGGTAACCTGAAATGCAATCTTAATAACTTAACTGTGGTTGCTGCTGTTGTTTTAATTTATTAATCACTTGCAGCATAAGCAGTCTTGGAAAGGGAGCAGCCAAATTAAAAACAATAAAATGAAGCATAGCATAGAACCGGGAGAAAAGAATGAATCATAATACAATAATAAAAATACTCAATTCATACAGCACACCCTGTAAAATAGCAGCTAGAAACGTCGGCAGCAAAACCAGAATCAGTGTGGTGTAGTGGTTAGAGCGCTGGACCAGGACATAGGAGACCAGGTTTTGCATTCCTATTCAGCTGCAAAGCTCCCAGGCGACCTTGAGATGGTCACTAATTCTCAGCCTAACCTCCCTCACAGGGTTGTTATGAGGACAAAATGGGGAGCAGAAGAACCGTGTATATGCCATGTTCAACTCCATGTAGGATAGAAAAGGTGCAATACGCATAAATCTGCTCAGAAGCATGTTTCGCTGAGATCAATGTCACCTACTTGCAAGTAAGCTTGAATAGGATGGCAGTCTTAGGTGTTGAATAAGCTCTTAAAATAGAAACTTAGGAACTTATGCCCTTCCAGATTCTCCTGGACTACCAGTCCCATTACCCTTGAATCATATTAGAAACTCAGATATAAAGCTAGGCACCTTAAAACCTAGGTTACGATCATCACAACAGAACGTCTGTTTGCCAGGGGGTTGGACTAGATGACCCTTGGGATCCCTTCCAGTGCTGCAATTCTACAATTCTATGGTCTCAACTACATTGCCTGACTGTAGTTTGCTCTTAAAACAATTCTCGCCCCCCCAGTATGCAAGAAGGAGAAACACATAAGGCGGCAATGGAGATGGTATTTACTATGGACCAAGGCAGAGGTTTTAAAAATGCTGTTATGAACCTGGCACCTGGAAATCTCTACGTAGTCGTATTGGACCCACACCAGGAGCAAAACACACCTGGCGCTTGGGGAATTTCAAACACTGCCCTTGAACCGTTGGCTGTGCTGGATGGAGCTGATGGGAGTTGTAGTTCAGCAGCACCAGGGAGGCCAGAGGTTCCTCACACATGCTTTACTCATTTTTTTGTGGAGGATCCTGATGTTGCCGGGGAATCTTTGCAATCCTTTGTCTTCTGGGGGCTGGTAGGAGGTGAACACCTGGAGACCACAGGTGCCTCTCTGCCCCATCTTGAACCAAGTTTTGACATTGCTGAGGCATCTGATCCAGGATCAGGACCTTCCCTTGTGGGGAAGTAAAGCTGAATGTGCAGCAGTAGACTACAGAAGGATGAAGGGGATTAGGCAGGCCTCGTTGCCATGGCGACAGGGAAAAAAAAGAACTCCACATAACACTCAAGCAGACAATGTGACCTTTTGGGAGTGGATAAAATGGAAGCCAGTAGGCCAAAATAAGTCAGGTGTGCCCCACTTACCTCCTCATTAAACACAAAACCAAACAAAAGAATGGGAGACACAGCTGAACAAGGTCAGACAACTTACTTTGAGAGTATAACCAGCTTCAGCTACTTGGTTCTTTGCTGGCTCCATTCAGACTTAATGTTGCTCAGTCCTTTTTTCTGTTAAAATGCATA